AAATTAAAATAATTTCCAAATCAGCTACCATAAAGCTCTTTATCTATCCAATGTATCCAGTTAAAGGTTCCATCCTGTTGCAGGTACCACGTGCCTGTCGACTTCGTTTCGATATAGTACGCACTTTTCATATTGGCCACATTGGCCACATTGGTCTGGATGCATATAAAATTGTAAAACATGCACAAACACGGATTACACTGCTTTGTATGCTCCCTGAAAACATGACTACACAATTTAAGCGTTTAATCCTTGAGTGAACGTTTTGATTCTGTCTTTATTACCCGCAGTCGTAAAATGACGACTTAAGGCGTAAAAGACTTTGTACGCTTCATGGTACTGCAGTATGACTATGTGACTATGTGATCGTAGTCCTACATTATGCAAATGAACGCTTTAATTTGATGTCGGTCAGCAAGAACATTTGTGCCTTTTATGTCGTTTCACGGATTGCAGATGCAGTCTATTTGCAGAACGTTGATGACCAAGTCGCGGTTATGCACAACTCCTTCACAATTGTGTATTTTTCTCTTTTTTCCGCAATATCATTTTTTATCGTACAATCAATAATGAAATCTACTTTTCTTGTATTCTTAACAAGCGTTTCGCTTGTCGACTCATGTCTGCACTAAATGAAATTGTATCTTCAATCTTTGCTGCTTAACTTTTCTTGTTATTAGGAGAGGAAGAGATATATTTTATTGTACGGATCGAATATTATCAGTCTGGCAATTGAATTAAATTATTGTTTACATATATCTTTGTATGTAAATATGCAAAGACTTGTAGAGTCTTATTTAATTTGTGGTTTGCAAGAAATTAATTCATCTATTTAATTTTATGTAAAACAAAAAATATGTTCATGGGTTTACATTCGATATAAAACTTTTATTGTTATCCCATTAAATTTGGAACTTAAATTGAAAAAGAATATCTCTAGTTACATTGTAAATTATATAGAAATTTATTTATTTCTATTTTTTATACAATTCCTTTAATATTCTGCATTCTTCTTCCCATTTTGAGCAAGATATCTCTACTGAACCTATGTTTTACTTAATCAATAATTACAATAACAATAACTTATTTTATATAAATCATAATCTTTTCCAAAAATGTACTCAATTTTAATTATTTGTTAAATATAGTACGATTTTGATCGCAGGGTCGGCTGTCTCAGTTGGCATTAGCTAAGTGTGTTGGCATTTGTGTCAGTTCGCTAATGAACGCTGACTCGACATATAGCAAAAACCTTAGATTTCCGTCGTTTTGCTCCACAGTCTAATTCTAGTTAGTTCCATTTAAATAGGTATACTTTAAGTGAAGCTAATCCACAAGTGACTTTCTCCATGTAAGTATTGTGTGTTCAAAAAAAAAAATTAATAAAGATTTTACCTCAGCAAAACGGCACTGCGACGTAAAGAACTTAACTGTTTAAAATTGATATTGATTTCTCTGATTCTCTGATTTTTCTTTAAATGTATGGTGCAAGATACTTTAAGTGTAAATAGTTTTCCGAGATATGAATATTTATTTGTAATTACAATTAACTCATTTTAAAGAGTATATTCTTACTAGTAAACAGACGTGCACCTCTTCCAAATTTACTTCTATGTACAACTCTTCTCAGTATGGCTCAAACTTGTTAATCAATCGTATTGTGCAAAATTTAAGACTCCTGAATTGAGGATATGTACTGAATAAAGGACCCATTAAATATTTTCTTCCTGCTAACTCTTTTTAGAGATAATTTTTATACAATGCAAAGAGCAATGGGGATATGAAACTGATTTCTGGAATTCGTTTTGATCATTAGTACACATCTTAAGAAAATTAGTATATTATTATTAAATTATACTAAGCTTTTAAAAAATATTTAAGTTTTGAGAAATTATTTCATAAAGTTTAGTAAATAGATTAAATATAAATAGAAGTTTCACGTCAAAAAAGCTATGAATTTCAAGGTAAAACCTGTTGACACACTGTAGAAATCAGTGAAGAAACTGATACGGATATTAATACGTCTAACTCTATATACTCGTGCTCATAAGAATACAAGTAAATAAATCATGATTTTTGTAATTTATTTTAAAATATTTATGCATAAACTTAACTCAGTAAAATTTTTAGCTTTATCATTTTTAGATACTCAGATACATTTTGTAGATTTATGACAAAACAATAGCAAGAAAAAATTATAAAATTATGAAATAAATAATATTCTATATTGAAGTCGTAAAAGATCACTACTACAAATCCAAATCGAGGATCGTAAATCATTTTAAACTGAACGTGTCAACGCCACAAACAATGTGACGCCACTGTCTGCAATGTGTAGGTGCAAACTGTATATATTAATATGAGTAAGAGGCTTGACATAAGCTAGGAGCGATTCTCGTCTAACTGCTCCTGTCAATGACTAAAGAGTTCACTTCTCTGATACTTCTAGCAGCCAAGTTGATACTTAAGTGCTATGCTAGGCTGTATTAAATTATGAAACACCTAATCGCAATCTAAGGTTATTCTAAGCGTTCTCTAAATATAATTCTCACTTATTGGACTTCACTGGAAAGCATTTACAATAGCGCACGTTCGTGGCATTTTTATCAAGTATTATCACGTTGCGGCGCCAAAATCACTTCAACTTTAATTTATTCCCTCAGAATAATTCAATCCGAGCTTGCTAACTGAGATTGGTTTGTGGCATGAGCTTGCCTAATATGTCAAATAGTTGGTCATAAAATTTATAATGCTTATCATTAACAGTTATTTATAGTGCTGGGTTACGATAATAAAAGCCACCCATGGTGAGTTTTTAATTAAAATCGCATAAACTCAAGATAAAATTTCGAATTATGAAAATGTGCTAAATCATTTTCTAACTATTGAAAAAAAAGTTTTTTATTTTCTATTTTGAGTAGCTACAAGCGTATTTATTTACATTTTACCTACTTAATCGTATAATTTTAAAAATGTAAAATTTATAAAGAAATTTATAGATGTCAGTTATATTTAATCTAGCTTAGGCAATGTTTTCTTTCTTTTGAACTTTTTTGTGTCATATTTTTAATCTGTTTTTAATTATTTAATAATAACTTTTAAATACTAATAAATTAATAAATAATTCATAGTAATTTATAAAATTAAATAGCCAAATAAACACATGTGTAGCGAATTGCACGTGTGGGGCTTAGGGTTACCCTTAGGGTCTTAGATTGGTGTCATTTATTTTGTAGAAGTTAACTATGTAAGTCAACATATCTTCTATGTCTTAATATATATCCGTCCATGTTTGTGACTAGGATGGGTTCCCATTGATTGCTGTTTTCGTTTGCTTTTTACTCAAGTTTTACATTTTGGGTTTATTTTTCGACTAATTCGATTCTTAGATCTTTATGTTTGTCACAATTTTTAATTCGTCAATAAATACTCAGAAACCTTGTTTTCGCCACGGCGTGCATACTTTACAACAATTTGATTGCGGTATACCGTTTTCAAAGATAACGCATTAATACAATAACTTTAGGTTAGTTTAGTTTGTACTGGCGGACTAAAGGGACCCACTTAGGCCTATTGGCCTATTGTGTTACCGTATTATGAAAAACTCAAAGTTTTAAAACTGTTCTGAACCTTTGACAAAGCTTAATTTCCTATTTGACGGAATTTCTTGCAGTTCACCGAAGTTCTCAAAAAAATAAGGCCTCTAGATTAGGTAAGACTGCGCCATCCATGTACTGGACACGAACAGAGCAAATGAGAACGAATTTTATCATCTTGTCCACAATTGCGACATATGTATATAATTGACAGGGAGACTCAATGTGCTAGCATGATTTCTTAATCTGCAATCACATGTCAGTAAACCTAGGAGGCAACTCGGTGGCAGTATTGAATTCTTTCGTGATCAAATTGCATACAGATGCCTACATATCGCTGAGTCTTCCCATCTTTTATTAAAAAATTAAGCACAAAAAGAGCTCAGTAACAGCTTGTATGTTGTCAGTGATATGTCTAGATTATTTAGATGATCCAAATGAGATCTTGAAGCACACTGACTGCGTGCTCGACTGCTTTGCAATTACCGAAAATATTTCTACAACTGGAAACCCAGATTAGAGAAAGGTTGACCTTTGTTAACATCACGTTTCGAGAGGTGAACCAATCAAAAAACTTACTGGATGTAAATTTGACGGAAATCAAGGACTTTAAGCCAACTTGACTGTCTGATAGTATGTACGATAGCTTTAGTCTTATTAAAAATTTGGGGATTAATACTATTTTCTAATGTCCAACCGACTGTATATTATTGAACGAAACGCTTTTATTCATTTATAACCGATGACTTCTTTTATTCACACAATGCCTCTATTTGAATATCTGTTCACACTAAACTTGTTGAAGTATGTTAAATTAAACAACCTTCAGTGATTTCAAAAGACATGAAGTTATATATATATTTTTACTTTAAGTTTCATACTACAATGGACTGGGCATTTAAGTATTGTAACATATAAATGTAAAACTTGTACATTTACATAAAAAACTTAAATTTATAAAAAGTATTCAGGTATGATTTAACATGATTTTCACCGTATTAGGATAGCTTTTAAGTTACAATAGAAATTTTTATAAAAAAAAATATTTATTAACCCAGGTCTGAGTTTAATAACTTTAGATTATTTTACAATAACACTGGAATAATGCTTATTCGAAGAATGACAAACTATGAAGCACAGGCTTTGTTGGTAGTAATTTATCTTCAAAGCATTTACAATTATATAACTGAATCACTCGTTATGACGCTTCATAAAATTTGTAGATGAAGTCTGTAAACGTAGTATTGAGATTAGTCAAAATTTTACCCCAGGCACTAAAAAACTATACCCAAAACAATAAACACAAAGCGTTGGCGTAGACAAAATAACTCCAAAACTATTCACATAAGAAGTGCATTGCGAGCTCCATATCTGTGGCAAACCTATTAATAGCGATGGAATACATCAGCCAATATCGCTTAAAAACTCAATTTGGCTGCAGGAGAAATAAAAAAAAGGTAACGTGTAAAAAGCAATATAACACAACACAACACAATTACACAAACAACAATCATAAATAAAGTGAGTAAGGATTTATTACACTAGGCCTAAAGGAAACGCACAAATTGGGTGCAATATTAGAGGAAATGAAAACTGCATTTTACCTCTGGTTATTTTTAAAATGAGTAATAAAAATTAACCTCAATTTAATAAAACAAATTACGAATGAGACTAAATTTATACTTTAAAAGAAAACAGCTCCGTTCCATACAAACAACAAATATTGCTAAAAATTAATTACAGTTTATACGTATTCAACTTACTTAATGAAAATACAGTCTAAAAAATTTGAAATTAGTTCTAGAAATTCTGTACTACGTGGCTATTTCGTAAGAGGATTCCTTGTGGTTAATAACTAGTTCTGGTCTTGGAGATATTTCGCTTAGACCCTTGACAGTTGTTTGGGTAACCGTGAAAATCTGATCACAATAACCTAAATATTTTTAATGCTTTTTAACCTTTGAAGAAGCTAACATTCTTAAAATCTTATCTCTCCAGAAGCAAGCTATATCTATATATAGTGTAGTTGAAAAAATTGCTTCAATTAATTGACTTTTCTGAAAGCCTTTGGCAAATCGGAGTAGTCTGAAATGAAAGGTTGTTCTGGTTGAATTATTTTTATTTATATATAAAATGAAAATTTATTTCATGTCGTTGATCATTTCTGAAAGATCTGCATCCTACAGATCAAATTTTTTAAAATATTTTTTTAATTTATATATTTTTTGATAAAAATACTAATCAGTAGATATCTATAAGTTCTGAGACAAAAAGAAAGCTTGCTATCCAAAAATTGGAATTAATATAAAAATAATTTTATTTATTAAGGAAATAATAAAATTTTTATTCAAAAGTAATACATCCACCAGAATGTTTTCTAGATATTTTTTAAATACGCATATTGAATTCCAAAATTTCATTCTTTTTGGTTCGTCCGCATAGTCCAATGACTTCAAATACCTTTGGAAAAGTGTTGTGCTGGAGTGAAGCTTCACTTCTGGAGATAATATAGTCATCGGATATTTGTTTTAATAAAGTTTTTATTTCTTTAACAATGCGCTACAGAAGCACAGAAAAATTATTATTCATTGATCCACTCGTGGTAAATTTCCTTAAATTTTATTTAAGGAAAACCCATGCTATCATGATTAAAATTCCTATATATTCTATGGCCTGACTAATTTTTATTTTACATACTTGATGGTGTTTAATTGGATATTAAAACTTAACATAAAATAATTTAAAAGTCCTTATAAAAGATTTATTGAAAGTTCTAAAACATATGAATGCTTTTAAAGCCCCACTTAAAGTGTTTGTATAATATAGTACTTTATATTTTTATAAGTATCAGCACATTTTATTAAAGTAGACATTACTTTGTGAATGTAAAATAAAAATTTGATGTTATTAAATGAAAATTATTCACAAACCAATTTCCTGCTAAGATGTATTCACCATCGGGAAGAGGAAGACTTTGCAGGTATTCCGTTTTCAAGTATAAGCCTTTCACTATAACGAATCCCTTAAATAAAATTATATCAAAAAACACAAATTCTTAAATTGAATAGTAAGGATAAATTTTAAAATAAACCTCATAGGGACACCAGTTGCCGATTTCCAAATATTTTTGAACAAACTTGAATATGAGATTCATGAGAGGATTGTTCCGCTTTGCCAGATATTCACAAGTATCAAGGGTAATGTTGTACAGAAATGGTTTGTAACCATTTGCCTTTTTCAGAATCGCCATATTTAGCTTTTTTTAAGAACAAATTAAAATTTTAAAAGAATTATTTAAACTTGCATTCATATATATATACTATTGTATTTTTCACAGGCTCCACAAGTGTTACGTTAATATAGAGTGCTGTGGTATCTCGCCGGAGAGCTTTTAATCGACACTTGTTAATAACAGCCCATGACTTGTTATGAGACTCACAAATGGCATTTGTTAGTTTAAAGACACCCGATATTTCCTTAAGTAGTTATTATTATCAATTTTAAATATATACATCTATATAATATTTAATAGCACTCACATCAGGTAAACTCAATACAATAAGAAATATTGTTATATATCCGTACATCCTGAAGTCTATTAAACTATGTATTGTTTTACTCAACGTTCGCATTTCACTAAATTGTATAATCTATATACATCACGTTTAATGTATAGGTCTTTAAACGGTCGATTGAACCGATATTCATTTAATTGATCTGTAATTATTATGTACATGAAATTAATTTCACGTGTAGTTATTTTATTTAATATCTATTACAATTAAATGTTTTTAAAAAAATTATAATTTTTATTTAATAAGGTACTTATTTCGTTTCAGATTTTTTTTTTTTTAAATTTAAGAGTCAACTTTAGTTTCATACATTTTTTATAAGTGCAGTTTCGAGAAATGTTGATACATCGTATTTTAAGGAAAAGGACATCTTCTATTTGTCCCTTTTTGGTTTCTTGTAAGCTTTAGAATAGATTTCGTAGATATCACTTCTTTTTCCTATAGTTTATTAAAGTCAAGCTTTTTTTTTTAGTGCAAGTGCTCCTTTTAAACTATTACTAATATATTTTATCAAAATTCAAGAGAAAGAGATGTCAAGTGTAAGTAAGCCACATATAAATAAAACTTTGTAAATAATTATTTAACATTAAAATACATGGTCAATTTGACTGTATGTCTTATTCCCGAAAACTTAATCGGCATTGCAAGATGATAGATTTAATTAAATTGAACTTCGAACACGTAAATTGAGGTCATTTATATAAACGACTTGACATTGTCAAGTAGTGTTAGGATCGTATCAAATGTACCACGAAGGTTTCTTGTTACTAAATGGTTTTTTAAAAATATAAAATAAATAGTATTTTAAGTCTTACGAACTAACTTTGACAACATGGTGTGATAAAAAAGACTATTTTTATAATTTTCAATGTTCATGCCTCTTTAATTCATATTAGTCCCGTCTTAATATTAAACATTCACGCTACCATAAATCACAGTTCGCAAAATATTCTACGATTTTATAGGTATTGTTCTAAAAGCGGCTTAAACCGCTATTGCGGCTTTATCTCATTTTTTGTAGAAAAATATTGTTTTCCTAGTTAGCTCACGAAATGGGTAAACATAACACAAAAAAAAAACTCCCGGTGCCAGATTTATTATTTAACAGTAACTTTGGAGTCTTCCGTGGTGTATTAAAATATAACATATAATTGTAGTCATATATTATGACTTACATATCCAATGCAATGCAAAAACTAAATGAAATTATTTATTTTTGAATAACTAGTGTTTTCCCTTTTACAATGTTCTTCGAACGTTCATTTACAGATAATATTATATTAAAATTTTGTACATAGCAAATATTTTAAAAATATTATATACAATAGAATTTAAAAACATGATGAGAATTATAATTGACTGCAATTCATAATACAATATAACTGATATTTTCTGAATGCCAAAATTTAGAAACTAATTGAGAATTATATATATATTTTAAACAGAATATAAAGCGGGTGAAATGAGAATAAGTTTAAAATTTCGTCATTCATTAGATATGACTTCATTTACGGACTGTATTGTATTAAAAAATACAATGTAACTGTAGTCATATATGGTATATTTAACAGTGTTGGATTCTTTTAGTATAATATTCGATTACTTGTCATCACATAACTGGCAATAGCTGTCGAATGTTCATCAGGAGTGTGGAGAATGTGAAGATTTGTCGCCACAAAAAAGTCCAGTTTTAACTAAACCCATGATTTTGGTTGCTAATTCACATTACTGAAACTTACATTTCCTCATGCAATAGAGGTAAAACATGTTCTGAAAATTGTGGTCCGTATCTACATCCATATCAAAAATTTCTCAAAAAAAATTATAATTGTATGACCGTAGCGATCAGAATGGACAATTTATGGTTAATGTCATCACTTTCAAAAACGTACAGGCCTATTACTCCTCAAGACTAAATGAGAAACCATACAGTGACCGTTTGGGAAGGCAATTGTCTTTCCATAGTTGCTTGTGGATTTTTACTGATTCAGGTATGACAATTTTGTTTGTTGATATTTTGACTAAACAGGAAATGACCTCATCTCTGAAGAAAATTCCATGCGAAATGTGCATCGAATTACTATAATAAATGTATAGTAAAGAATCACTACAATAGTTTCACAACTTTAACAGCATCAAAATATGTTAGGCGATCTTTTATTAAAAAATGGTAAACATTTAACTTATGGCTGTCCAAAGCACGGCCTATGGATAATTTTTGTGCGGCCCGCGACCTGATTTAAATCTACTACAATCACATAAATTTTGTTTCGGTATATTCTTAACACTAGATTATTTTATTTTTATGGTATAACAAATAAATGAATTCAAATTAATAAATTAAAATTAAATTTAACATTAGCATTGTGTTTTTATTTTTGTGGAAAACAATTAAGAAAGTATGTATTTGATTTTGCTGCTCTCCAATCATTATAGAGATTTGTATTGGACCGCGATCGTATCTAATCCGAACAGCCCTGCTTTTACTTTACACATGTTGCCCAGAATGATAGTTCTGTTTCACATATGCTATAAAAATAGTGATGTATAAAATGGCGTACAAAATTGACAACCGTTCACAATATTTAATGGCATGTATTTTCCAAAATTTTTTTAATACAAGATTTCGAAATAAGTAAGTGGATACTAATACTTCTTTTTTTGTCCTTATTCATAGATAATTTTTATATTATATAAAATAGTCATACTCATAATCGATTATAATTTGCCCTCTTCATATATTAACGAAACTCTAAACACCTACGCTGACAACTCTTTTCAACAATGACTCATAAGTGCAATTATTTTTTGCATAATATACAATGGAATACATACCTACTTCAAAGATACTTCCAAACATAAATGTGTGGTTAGCTTATGCATAATTTTTTTTAATTTCCGTAAAACTGGAGTTATGAAGTGTAGACTTTATCATGTAACATATATCTTACATGTGTGTTTTTTTTTTGTTAAAAAACAATTTTCTTATTAGCCATTAAATGTTTTTGTTTGATTTAAATTTATTTGTCATGTTAAAGACTCTCCTTGCTGCTTCCCACTTTCAAATGTTGTTAACTAATTATTTTACTTAAATTTTAATTACTAATTGTAGGTGGTAAATAAAACTCAAGGAAAGCCAGAAAAGAAAAATATATTTTTTTGTCAGGATTTTTAGTCTTTAGTTACCAACAAAAATTGCGAATTTACACTTTTTGACTTATATCAGTGTCAATCAATCTGACTTACCTTTAACTATTCAACTCCTCTATTCACAAATCCGTCTGTTTGGCTGTCTATTAAATTGGACGGACAGTCCATTGGCATACATTACGGCTTGAATTTCCGTTTCACTCAATTCAATTCACTTCGTAAAGTTTTACAACGGGTCTATGTCTCAAATATCCTGGAGCAACAATTTGAAAGGCCTGACATGTTGTTTGTTTTTGATTTAGAGTTTCCATACAATTTGTGTTAAATTTCTGAATATGTTTTTCAATTGTAGATCTTAAATTAACATTACAGATAAAGTAAATAAAACTTTTCGATAATTTTAATAACATTTAATATATACAATTATAAGAAAAGTATAATTAAAGTTGAAAAAAAATACAAAGTTCTAATAAATGCTTAAATTTATTGTATGACTAACTCATTTACAGAATCGTGTATCGCTGACTTATATAGGAAATGTTTTGCAATACAAACAATCTCATTATTTTCAGGAAAAAAACTTATAATAATTAATAAATAAGAAAATAGATTTAATCGTAAAATAATTGCAATTTACTACCGGAACACATTGGCTATATGCATTCAGGTCGTTGTAGCAGACAGCCTGACTCAAAGATGGCAATTATAATAAATACTCATTATTCGTTTTAATTTCGTATAAATTTCAAATCACGAGTATCCAAGTATTTGATTGGAATAAAATAGATACACGACACAAATCACGTCATTTAGGTGATTTGCCACAATTCACACTAAATTCATTTAATCCAATAAATATTTATAATAAATAAAATTAAAATTCATTGCACATGAACACTTCAGGAATTTATTACAATTAAGATGTGTTTTTATTTGATTTTATTAAAACAAAATAAATTTTATTTTTAAAATATTAAGCATTTTTTAGTCATTAATCAGCATTATTTATTCTAGTTACTTCAAATGCCCTTCAGTTTAGAAATATGTATGTTGGTCTAGCACATGACCATTAAAAAAATTAAACAGAGATATTGGTATTGAATATTAAATAAAACAGATAAACAAAATAATTTTTACTTATATATAATAAATAATTTTAATTATTATACATATTTTTATTATATGGAAATGAAATATAATTTCTGTCAGACTGCAGGTACTGTAGAGATGAGAGAGAAACCGCATGCGAAGTGGTAGAGGGGTGCCTGGAACTGATGCACAAGCGGAAGAAACACCTAGGAAGGTACTTCATGAAACAGAAGTATTCAAGACTAGAAAATATAGATTCTATGTTGTCTTTCATTAAAGAAATCAGATTTGGAGGAATACTCTAATCAGATTAAGGGGCATAATTGATCTTTTAAGTGTACTATTTTTTTTTCATAATAATAATTATAATTAAAAATATTAAGTAATTATATTGTTTTTGGTATACCCAAGTCAATTTACATTGAAGAAATAAATTGTTTGGATTAAATGACAAGCCATAAAATTAATTGCTTTAAAACTCATAAACTAAATATTTTGAAATGAATTTTTTTACGAGATTAACTCCGCATTAGTAATATTGAATATTTCCATTTAAGCTGATTGATCAGTTAAAAATCTGTTGATTAATAAAAGCTCATAAATGATTTTCAAACAAACTAACCGCAGGCCAGGCTTATTTGTTAAATAAACTAAAAGCGGAAAATTACGAAATCAGTTTGTAAATAAAAGTAAACAAAAATGGAAATCACTTTCTTATCATAAAATCAGTTATCAACAGTTTTAAAAATTAATTATTAAAAAATTTAATGCATTTT